GTAGTCGTGGAGATACATTTATAGATTAGAATACAGAGAACTCGTCGTCCGAGACGAATATGCGAGTGCAAGTGCGCTGAAGAGTGTTCGAAATTGCGATTTGGCGCCGGTGCGCTACGTTGTTATTGGAGCGCACATTTGCTCAATGGAACAGCTGCGATATTGATGACTTAAGTGCGCAAAATATATCGCCTTAACCGAAAAAACGCTAGTAGGTGAACTTATGCTGAGCGCTAGCAACTCGCGACGATTGCGTCCTTTGCGGAAGGTGTTCTGATGCGCTATCGCGAAACGGTTTTGAATCGCAATTTTGCGTGCTACTCGCTCGGATTTCGAGTGATGGTTAGTATTTGTGAGGGAGTTCGTCTCCATCGTCAACCTTTGCTGGACTTGGTCGTTCTCGTGTTGTTACCTACCGCTGTTGTCGTAGGTTGGGTTAGGAGATGTGCGCTGACTTCTTGATCTGTGTGGTGAGCGCTTTTGTCAACTTTGCTTTACATGCGCTAATGGTTGACCTGGTTGACTGCTGCGGTAGGGTGGTTACTTCCTAACTCGAACCTGAAATGGGAAAGTGAGAGTATGTAGTGCCGTGAGAAGGCCCTGGCCAGTAGCCTTTCGCGGCAAAGGGTCAATTGCGGATAAGCGAAGCTGGCCTCATGACAGTAATGTGCGATCACAAGAAGCTAGCGTAAGACAAGGACAACAGTTGACGCAACTTGCAACAAGTATGCCACACAATGATGTTGCTGCCGTACTCGTGGAAGTATCAACAAAGGCGGTTGCCTGGAACTGCGCGGATGATCTTCGAGGCCACACAGACGCCAACGGACCGAAGATGCGGCCTGAATACAAGTGAAGATTCCGTGCGGACTACCCGGACAGCGTTTCCCCATGCTGCTACGGGCCTGGCAACCAGGTCGCACGAGGGACGTTTCTCCCATCCGGTCCTTAGGGTCTCCCTCCATGCGATTTTGCCCTGGTGCACCCCCCGGTGCCTCGCGCGCATTGCTTCCTCATGCTCCAGAAGGGTAATCCTTCCCGCTCCCTAGCCGCGGTTGCCTCGTACGTCGTATGGTTGCTGGTGCCACTCCAGGACCATAACACCCGTACGGGCTCTAGGGTGGTAAAGGTAGGCCCTAGTCGATGCTTCCTGCGCGGTCGTTCTGTAGGAGCTCGTATCAGCCGAAGAGTTCCATGGACGCGTCCTGTTGATCCTCCAGTTTCCGACTTCTGCGCGTGACAAGGGCTCGATCTCAAAGGCCAGACATGTGTTACCACATGCCCAACCTCGGTCCGATGCACCATGTCGCGACGCCGGTGCGGCAAGCCTGGGGCAAGACATGACGTACAAGTGGCTTGCAGCCCGGTGCCGTGATTTTAGATGATGTGCGGAGGGACACGCGCCTAGCTCTGCCTGCCACGTACCTGCGGTCCTCATCCTCCGCTGCCCCTGATGTTGCCTTCCTGCTGGAAGACCACTGCGCTTAAAAGAGATGACAACTGCGCTGAACTATCTTCACCTTCCCAAGGTGTTGCCCGACACTTGCGCTTTATAACCACCTACTTGATGTTAACGTTGTGTTGGTATTGTTGACCAAACTACTGCGATCAATAAATATCGATCTCTCTTGGAGATACACATGTAAAGGAAAGTGAAAGAAGATAATGAAAGGTGCGCTCATTACTACCGCACGAATAACTTCGTATAGGTATTTGATCAAGGTGCGCTTGCGGGCGTGTGCAGTGTACCGCGCGAAGGATATGTTAAAAAAGGTGATGAAAGGGGAAACTTTAAAAAGATGTATATTGTAAAAATGCCAAATGCGCATAACGAATCCGAAGAGGATTATAAAACCCACTGCGGGATTGGAATTGATTTGCGAATTTGGGTGAAAAAATTGGTTTTGCGAACCTATAACAACTATGACGTTTTATAGGCAGCGTGGTAAATTTGACTGCGTACATTTGCAAAGAAAGGAAAAATTGCTAGGAAACTGCGCTTTACAGACTTTGATAGTGGCATAAACATATACGTCATTTACAGAGAGAAAAGATCACGCTAGCATAGGAAACAAGGTTAAGAACAAATTTACACGAACAATTCCTAGACACTGCAACAAAGACGAAATAGGCTATTCAAAAGCGCAAACTATGCGGTACCACCTGATCAAAGTTTGCTGCGTCCCGAAGGAGTAACTGAGGCAGATATGATACCGGCTACATTATACGTATTGAAAGGTGCGCTTCACTACTGCGCATGACTCTTGCTACATAACAGAACACAAAGTAAATAAAGTTGGCTTTATGCCATCTACACAATCTACGAACCTAAACTACTAAACCTACGGGATGGTTTCCTCGCCTCATTAGGGGCCATCGGTGCCTCGAGCCCCTTCACTCGTGCACTGCGCGTTAGCCGGGGTGCGTTCGTCACGTCCGGGCGCGGAGCACAGAGGAGTGAAGGTTCCTGTCTTCCATACCACAGATCCTTGTCCAAGGTGTCCATTCCATGAAGTGCGCTGCGCCCCAAGGGTCGTCCGGGGGACGGACGACGGCGCTCGTAGAACTAGTCGCGAATACCACTGCGTCCAATGTCTTCTGCGCTGGAGTGACAGCTGCGCTCGAGATGGAATCAGATGCGGGACAAAGGACGAGGGACGAAGGACGGCAGTACCATGCACTGCGATGGCGGATGAGGGATGATGGTAGGGAACGACCGGGCAGGACGAAGGAAGAGACGACGACTCGACGATGACGACGAGGAGACGACTGACTCGTAGAAACTTCCAGGCCCAAAAGTGGCGTGGGCCAATCCTTCCCTGCGCGTCGACTAGTGCGCGTGAAGACCCAGTGCGGACCCTGACGACTCGGCCCTTTAAGATGGCTTGCGGGCTGACTTGGCGTCGAATGTAGAGTGCGAACCGTGACGGCGTACAATATGCGTAGAGGTCGTACGAAAGTCACGACACTGGGGGCGGCAAAACGACGAAAGCCGCTCGCGCCACAGGAGCTGGAAGCACCGCTTACCTACTTATTTACATACACGTTAATCGACGCCTACCAGATTGGGCCTAAGTAGCCATGCGTTTCCCCCAGCGCGCATGGGTGCGAGGAACCATAGGACTAACTTCTGACTTGCGGGGCCGTAGGCATGCTCAATACAATGAGTTAGTAAAATACAAGTAAATACAACAAAATAAGTGACCAATAAAACGGATCACAAAAAGATCTTCTGCGGCTGTAGGATATTGCGTCCTCGACGGCGGCATCAATCCCGGCGAATGCGCTGACGTTGGTTGATGTTGACTTCGAAATCGATGGACGACAGTACGGTTGTGACGATTGTTGAAAATATAAGGCCTACTAGATTCATGAAGGAGCAGAGTTTTGAGCTCCGAAGGGGGTCATTTTAGCGTGAGGGGGAGATTTTCCTCACATTGATGACAAAACGTTCCCCAGGGGTGTTTGAAAAAAGGCACGTAGCTTAATCCCGGGACAGGCGAAAAATGAAAATGCGGTCTCCCACCGCACGCCCCAAGGGTGCGTCCACTGACGCGAATCGTACTGAACCGACAAAATTCTGACCACTTTTTTGAAAAGTGCGTAATGAGGCTGCGCGGCCTGATTAGCAGGACCGAAGAGAAATGCGATAACGTGAAGTGCGCTTTGTAATCCACACTATGGATTTTGTCCTCAGTGTGGTGAACTGCGCTTGAAGAATGCGCGGGCTTATGACCCGAAAACTGACTGCTGCGCTGAGATTTGTTTTTAGTTAGGTGCGCTTAAATGACAGGTGCGAATAGAAAAAGAAACGTAAGGTGCGCTGCTGCGGAAAACCGACCTTATTGGTGAGCCGTGGCCCGCCTCGATAGACGGAGCCCCCACGAATGAGGCATACTCCGTCTCGACAGACGGAGCCTCCGGGCAGGCAGGCTGTG